AAAGAGTGAAAGAGATAAGGGAGAAAAGAGGAATGAGTGACAGACAAGAGCTGGAGGCAAAAGAAAGAGAGGGAAGAGTGGCAGATAAGAGGTGGGGTGAAAGAGAAGGGGATGACTGCCAAAGAAGGGTGGGGTGGGGTTGCCAACTTCCCGGTGATATGCAAAAGTATATAGCACTGTGTATAATAGATGTATGTTCAAGGTAGATCAATTTTGTGCTTTTTCTTTTTTTATTATTTCTCTATACTGTTATATAAATATTGCTGTCAAATATTATCAAAAATAGGTTTCACCCAAACAAAACATCAAAGTGCAGGTTTACATTCTGTTCAAATATTCAGACAGCACCTTGTCAGTATCACAACCACTAGTGCCACAGGACTCTAGTAATTTACCCGTTTTGAATACAAGCTTTTTCAAGGACCGTGATGTATATAAAGGACATAATGTGCAATATTTTCTCATTGTGTGAGCACAAAAACTCTTAAGATAGCAGCATATTTTCTATGGTCCCATCAGAACCCTTGCAGCAGACATCATAACCTATCTAGGATACCATATATCTCACGTTCTATCAGGTGATGGCCAAAGATCTCCCAGAATGACAACTGATCTCCGGTTTACAGAGATCTGTTCCCTTGGATAAAATGGCTGCTTTGGAAGGTGGATTCTATGGCATTACACCCTGCTGATGTCACAGGAAGTGGTGGCGGCTACAAGCATGGATGGCTTCAAGAGGGAATTAGATAAGCATATGGAGCAGAGGTCCATCAGTGGATATTAGCCACAAGGTATAGATAGGGGCTCTGGGGCAAGTGATGCTCTGTCTTCTTGGTGCTTGGGGGGGGTCAACAGTGGGAGGGCTTCTAATGTCCTGGCCCCACTGGTGGACCTCCTGATGGCACTGGTATTTCTGGCCACTGTGTGATACAGAGTGTTGGACTGGATGGGCCTTTGGCCTGATCCAACATTGGCGTCTCTTATGTTCTTAAGCTCTTATGTCCCTCCACTCCCCAAACCATGCCCTCCCCAGGCTCTGCTCCTAGATCTCCAGGAATGTTCCTACCCAGAGCTGGCAACCCTAGGTGGTGGAGAAAGAAAGGGAGGTTGAGTGACAGAAAAGGGGGGGAGAAGTAAGAGTGGGGGAAAGAGAGAGAGAGAGAAGGGAATTCTAATAGAGAAGGGGTAGGGGAGAGGGGAGGAAGCAAAAGCAGGGAGAATAGGCTGTCCCCCTCCCCACAAGTTCCTTGCAGATCCCCACTTGTGCCTCCTAAAAAAGGAAATTCTAAGTTGCAACTGCTCCCTGTTCTAGGCTCGCCACATACCAACAAATAAATTAGCAGTTTCCTCAAATCAAGCTCCAGGCCTTCTGCTGCTGGAGGGACTGTCTGAGGAGTATGTCATTGCTAGTGTTGGCAAACTCATTGATATGATTCCATACAGTCCATCCTATGAAGCTTCCATTTCCTCCAGGGAAATATGTTATCTCGAGATCAGTTGTAATTCTGGGAGCCCCACTCAGAGGTTGACATCCCCAACCATTGCAGTTGCTAATACAGGAACAAACATGAACTTGTGTTCCATGAGTGCAGACAGTCACATCTCTGGATCTAGGTTCTGTGGGGTTCTCATTGTTACTAGATGTGAGACTATAAGGAAAACCTTCTGCTGAATGGTGATTATTATTTTTATGAGCAAACTCATTGGCATGAAAAGTGCCACATTTCCACCAAGAAATGCCATTATAGAAGGCTAAAGTCTCTTCAGCCGCAGGGCTTTTTACTATTTTATGAATAGAAAGACTACCATAACATTAATTAATTAAAATAACTCTTTATTTGTAATTGGTTACCAAAAACTAAGGAGCAAAGTAATGATAAAATGAATGATAAATGTAGTCTTCTCTACCTAGGACAAGGAACCCAATCCTGAGGGTTGCTGCACTGGTGGCAGCCAGCCACCAGGACAATAGCTGTGCTGCTGGACATTGTGTGTAGAGGGAATAACATTCCACCAGGAACTGACTCATAGTGAATATACTAGAGCCCCTGTCCACCTTGTATCTCTGAGGTATGCTGGCAATGAAGCTGATTGGCACCCTGGGTGCTCCCCCCCCTTCAGGAATGCACTGTAAAATGTCTCCTTTCAATGGCTTCTTGGTTAAAAGATCAGTTGTTCTGCAATATTAGCATCACTCTGTCTTTTGTCAGATGTTTACCATGGGATCAGCAAATAAAACTGATCAAGCACAACTAAATTCCTAATCTACTTTCTGATATCAAACTTATCAAACATCTTCCTTAGCTTGTCCCTAATTGATGACAACTAGTGATGGAAGCAGTTATTGTGGGGTTAGGATTTGTTATAATAATTAATCTCAAACCAAACAGCATCAGAAAAAAGAAGCTTCTAAATATATTCCTGCTGGTTGTTTCCATTTTTTTTTTTAAACCGGAGGCATGGAGGTAGTGGCAATGAAAGATCTGTTTGGCTACTTTTACTAACCTGTCAAATGGAGTAATTTACAGAATATTCCTGTTCATTTCCTTTCCCATCAGTCCAGTCCTTCCTGTGTTCATTCCAGTACCATATAACATATACTGAAAGACTCGCCATGCAGGCAACAGTGTATGCAAGAGAATAATAAAATAATGTTTCAGTCCAATTTTTCCAGTCTGCAGAGGAATATGAGGGAACTGAAAAGCTGGTTGCCCAGAAATCCAATGAAACTTGACAAGGAAGCACTACCTGACCTGGAAGAAACAGATTGCTATACAGCACCCTTCAGTCGAGCACGCGTACATCAGTAAGTAAGTGATGGTGACACAGAAAATATTCGTTCGACACCAATATGAATATTTCATTTCTCCTCAGCAGGTGACATAACACTTACCATTAATAGATTGTTGGTGTCAAAACTGAGTGGAGATTATATTCTATATGCTCTGGCTTCTAGAAGTAGAGTCTATATTCTACAATATCTTCAACTGGATTAGGATTAGAAGCAGTTCTTTTTGAATGCAAAGCAATACCTTTGAAATCCTGTTGAGCAAATTGGTGGGGAGGGGTTGTGTATCTGAAAGCAGAATTTAATCATCAGTGTTCTTGACTAAAACTATAGGTCTCAACTTTGTGTAATGGGTGACCAAAGAAGATCATTCACAGCTCATTCTTACTGGTGCAGTGCCATTCAATGTTCTCAAACAGAAGCAGATAATGAAATATGCCATAGTGTTTAATATATAGATTTTACCATTATCCTGGAGCCCATACCAACTAGGAATGTGTCAAAGATCCTCCACATCTGACTATCTGCCATAGTTTCATAATTCCAAATGATTTAGTCGTTTCTGAAGTTCAACCAGTGTTTTGTTTTGTTCTGTTTTTAAGTTCTAAATTTTGATACATCACTGAGCACTTCCCATAGCATTTAGTTCCTTCACTGAATTGTGGCTCCCACCCTCAATTGTATTACTGAAGCACATACATACATTGATAAAACACTGTAAATTATTATGCATACAATTGCTCCAGTTCTGTTTATGTAGGATATTACCAGTTCTTTGTAGGAAAAACACGTATCACTAAACCCTGCACAAAAAGAATGTGGTGATAGCTTTTTTACAGTATTTGATAAATCTGCACATGCATATCAGTAATATAAAGGTTTTAAAAAGATGCAAATGGGATTGCAAAAAAAGTTGCAATAAATTGTGCATGTTCCAATTCTGTAATATTTAAGGTAAACCAAAATTCAGGAAGAATGAAATGAAAGGCAGAGCAAATTGGGGGGTGGGGGGTGGGAAGTGGAATGACATAAGTCTGCTGATCAGTGTCTCAAATAAGACTTTAATCGCAGAAATTCAAACTCTTTAGGATTTTGAAAAGTAATTTCTCATCCATTGTAAGATCTATGAGCTTTGAAGATTGCCCTGTGATTATAGATTTCACCACAGGTGAATGGAGTTCCTTTTCAAATAACTGGAAGGAACTGCAAGCTGCACCATGGGCCTAGGGTGGATGTTTACATAGGTAGTACACTAGATAATTTTCTGTTCCTTTGTGGCTCAAAAACAAGAAAGCACAAATTTTGTTCCTCAGGAGGGGTCACAATGGAGTGCTTCACAGTTAATAATGGACTGCATGAAGTAGTCCACTGAAACAAAGTTCTTTTTTATTGAGTTGTAGAGGTCTCAAGTGGAGCTGCGGTGGCTCAAGTGGTTAAGACACTGAACTGCAGGGTGTGGAAAGTCAGTAGTTCAGCAGTTCGAGACCCGGGTGCCACATGATGGAGTGAGCTCCTATCTCTAGTTCCAGCTCCTGCCAACCTAGCAGTTCGAAAGCAAGAAATTGCTAGTAGATAAATAGGTACCACTTCGGTGGGAAGGTAACAGCATTCCGTGCGCCTTGGTGTTTAGTCATGCCGGCCACATGACCACGGAAACGGCTTTGGACAGCGCTGGCTCTTCAGCTTTGAAACGGAGATGAGCACCACAACCCTAGAGTCGGATTTGACTGGCTTTCGAGCAAGGGAACCTTTACCTTTTTAGAGGTCTCAAAGGTGTCAAAGCTTATATTGAGAGTGTCAGATTTTGTTCAGTGTGAAAAATATTGTATATGTTAGTACTGAGACAGCTGCTTTCAACACTGATTAACATTATCAACATTTCCTGCAGTTTTACAATCAACAACAAAGACAGTTTCTTCAGCAATTCCACAAGAAGTAGGATAGTACACCATATGCTGCAGAGGACAAAGTATGAAGATGGCAAATCAAAAATGGGTACTAATTCATAACACTTATTTTGGGTTTTAGACTAGCTGTTGCTGGCATATGAATCCAGCCACTCAAATATTCAGTGAATAACTTCAGTGCACTGTTCCATGAGCAAGCGCACTGATAGTACAAGTGGCTCCTTTAATGGAAGAGAAAAGTGGGCTGATTTTGTCCAATTCTTCCATCTCATTGCTACCACTTGTATCTGTGGCATTTTATCCATGAGACTCCCATGACCTCCAGCATCAGACTTCAGTTGAGGCAGCTGGAAGAAGATAAAAGCAGAAAAGATCCATGGCAGGAAGTACCTTCCACTTGTGGTTCATAACAGCACAACCCAAAAGTAATATTATATATTGGGGAAATTGTTTAGGGATGCATATTTTTAGGGATGTATATAAACTTCTCCCCACATAAATATTGGGACCTATCAGAATAAACATAAATAACAGTTCATTATCCCTGTGTTTTTCAGTACAGTCCTACCCACTGGGCTTCAAGGATTGCATTGTTTGTAGCCTATATCTTGGTGATATAACTAAGTTGGTGTATCTTCTTTTCTGTTTAGGCATCAATAGATTACTCAGCAATGGAACATATGAAGCTGCATTTCCACCTCATGAGGTAGTTTAAGTAGCAACGTTTTAAGTATGATCTGTCCATTTTGAGTTTAATTGAGCCTCTGAAGTCCATATGTGAAAAATAAATTTTGTTGCATGTACTCATCTTTCTGGCCATATTTATTTGATTTCGATAAAAGATAAATTGAATTTTCAGAGATAGTTTTTCTCATCAAAGTGATATTGCCTACCAAATTTCAAATACTTTAGAGAAAGGATCTCAGTTTTGTAGGTAATTAAAAATAATTGTGATTTTTTTTTAAAAAAAAAAGAGGAAATTTGGAGCAGCTACAAAGTTACTTATCCAATCACTGTGAAATGTGTGGAGACGTTTGCATCTCAAGAGGGTTCACTCATGGTAGATCAGGTAGACGAAACATTTGACATCCCCAGAATACAGTCACTGATACAGAGTGATCATAGGGAGACATCTGGACTAGAGATATAAGCAGAATTTCACAGCAGATCCTGGCTTTCAAAATATTTATACAGAAAATATTTTTTTTGCAAAAAGATTTCTCACCAGTAGTTCTACAGTTGTTCTCAGAATCTTATTTATGGGGTATCAGTCCAAAATTAACAACACAAAAGTAACTAGAAATTATCAAAACCTTCTAATACTGGTACAGCTTCCTGCAAATCAACCTGCTAGGTTCTGAATAAATATAGTACCTAAATTCAAACTCAGGACTTACTGTGGGTAATATGATAATTTGTCCACATCCATTTTAAAATGGCCATCTACAAAAAAACCAGGAATATTCTACAGAATGATTTAAACAAGATGGGGCATATGTCTTTAACTGGTGTATCCCGAATGCTTCCTTGCAGAGTAACACTTTATGAACGTCCAGTTTGTCATATGGGTGTGCAATAAACTTCTCCAATACAAAAAAACTGAAGTAATCAGATTTGTGTTTTCAATCAATAGAATATTAGACAAGAGGCACATCTAAAATTTGATTTTTAATCCGAGATTTATGTTCCCCAATCTGAATGCATAAAGAACACGTTGAAAGTCCAACATGTAACAACTTACAACCACACTGAATAAGATATACATTTTTCTTTGTAGCACAATTAATGATGATAGTTCCTTTTCAAAACCTATTTCAAGCAGAACTAGTTTATTAGTAACGCATGCTTGAGAACATGCTGAACAGCCAGCATACCGATGATGTCCAGTAAGAGAAGGTGCAATTTGTGGCTGAATGAAAATATCTGATTTAATCATAATATTCCTAATGCTTTTTGTTCTCCTGAAACCAATAAAAGGTCTACTTTGGCATCCCAGAATGTATAATCAAATGCACAGGTAATATTATTCCTGTGAATGGTATCTTTAATTTGAAATAATTGGCTATGATCCACAGATCTTGCTCTCTCCAGAGCTTTGTTAATAATGTGTGGAGGATGACTTCTGTTTTTTAATTGTTTAGTTAATCTATTGCTATCACTGACAAAATCTATTGGTAAAGTAGAATTTCTTTTTAGACGCAGAAATTCTCCATAAGGCATGTTGTGTCTAAGATTATTAGTATGGTGAGAACTGGGTTTGATTCCCCATTCCTCCACTTGCATCTGCTGGATGACCTTCAACAAGCCATAGTTCTGACACAGCTGTTCTTGAAAAAGAGCAGTTTCTGTCAGAGCTCTCTCAGCCTCACCTACTTCACAGGGTGTCTGTTGTGGGGAGGGGAAGGGAAAGGAGATTATAAACCACTCTGAAACTTCTTTGGGTAGTGAAGAGTGAGATATAAATCCAGTCTCCTCCTCCTTCTCCTCCTCCTTCTTCTAAAAATAAGGAAAATGTCATCAATAAATCATTTATTTTAAAAAATCACATGATCATAAAAAGGATTACTGGATATATTGCAAATGTATTTTTGTTCAAGCAAAGCCATAAAAAGATTGGCGACATTAGGAGCAAAGGTGCTGCCCAGATGTTTTGAGTTTGAATTTGTTTTATTTAATTTATTTTTACACTTATATCCCACCCTCCCCAGTGGGCTCAGGGCGGCTAACAGAGGCCAGATCATTAGTCTTGTCATAAGTAAAAACATATAAAAGCATAATAAAAACATCACTACTAAGACTAAAGTGCTCTATCCAATTACTAGTGTCCTAGATCCAAGATGGTATCCCCACGACTCGAGCTAGTATTCTCAGCATACATATCCAGTGGCGACGGCCTATCCAATCTTCTGTAATTCTAAGTTCTTCCTAGTTTAGATACTATATTTATTCAGAACCTAGCAGGTTGATTTGCTAGAGGCTATACCAGCATTAGAAGGTTTTGGTTAGTTTCTAGTTAAATTATTTTGTTGTTGTTAATTTTGGACTGGTGCACCATAAAGAAGATTCTAAGAACAACCGTAGAACTACTTTTGGTGAGAAATCTTTTTGAAAAAAATATTTTCTGTATAAATGTTTTGGCATTGTGACATTATATAAAATTTGTGATTATTTCATAGGAATGATTGTCACCTTACTGGTATTTAAATATACTACTGAAAAAAACACTTTGTAATTATTGATAGTGGATAAGCCAAATTTTTGTGCAGCTTTTTATATAATTTTAAGATTTTATCATACGGTAAGTTGTACAATTTTTCAATCTTACTGAAGAGGTTTAGCAAAATGAGGGGATCCATACCTGGGATCCTTCTGTAATGATTCTTCTTTCAATGATCCATCCTGTAATGTTGTATGACTCTTCTCCTAATTATCTGTTGATGTTGACGCATTAATAACATTTATAAAAATTGTACTTACCTTTGTAATTGAGTACACAGACTTCAGTGGAATTATATGTCTCGTAATTTTCACAGATTAGGTATAAAATAATTATACACAAGTTCATTTTATTAGCAGATTTATTCAGCATCTCATTACAGTATTTTTGCTGTTTTTGGATCCTCATATCACTGTAATACTCCAGGTGAGGCCTGGAGATCTCCCAGAATTGTAATTGATCTCCAGACCAGAGAAGTCTGTTCCCTTGGAGAAAATGGTTTCTTTGGACAGGAGAGTCTGTGGAATTATACCCTGCTGAGATCCCTCCCCTCTCTAAAACTTACATTTCCCAGGCTCCACCCCCAAATCTCCATTAATTTCCCAATCTGGAGTTGGCACACCTAGTTCCAAAAGACTGTCTTAATGTTTTCTTTTTAAATAAACTCTCAGTAATGTAAGCAGGCCAATTTCTGTATCAACTTTAATATTAAATTCAAGATAGCATTTTTCTCCACTATTCACCAACTGACTGTGCTGTAAAATCAGTAATGTCCTTGTTTATACTTTTATTCAGATGACTTCTTTTTAACATCCAATTTCTCTTTCCTTTTATAAGCACATAACATTCTGTTTGTTTTTTAATTTCCTGGTGTGTTCCAGGGAAGTCATAAAAGCAGGCATCCCATCAAAACTCATGGAGCTCAGAATCATCGACATCTTTTATATGAACGGTGGGCACGGTGGGGGATGTGGTACAAATATCAGCCTTTGGATTTGATCAGGTACCTCAAAAATATATCAGTTTATTCCTGTGATGAGTGAGACAATATTTATTGAACTGTGACTGGGCAATTGTTTTACAGAAATTCTTTGTTGATAATATAATCTGTTGAATTTAATCTTTATTTTTCAGCTTTGTTTATTGTTTATTTATACTGTTTGGAATGTTTCTTCTGATTAACATTGTCCTGTACTTAAAACAAATAGTTAATTTTCAGTGCAATCCTATGCCGAGTTACTCCATCAATATCAATTTAAGTCTGTGGATTTAGACTGGAATAGCACTTAATAGCATTGCACTGTTAAGTAGGACTGCCAGGTGTCCAGTTTTGAATTAGACAATCCAGTATTTTCACTTTCTGTCCAACAAATAAACTGAGAAAATACTGGACATATACATGTTCAGCATTTTCCTATTAAGTAAGCTTGCAACCATCATGGCCAAACCCCATGCATATGCTCTCTTTTCCCCCCTATGGCTTGATAAACTGCTGATACCTCCAAGGTTTGAAAAGAATCAAACTAGCCACTGAGCAGCCAGGCGGGACACTCCCTGAGAAATCTCGTTGGCTGGACTGATAAAAACTGGAAAGAGAGAGATTTTCACAGCCAACCAATCAGCTTCCCATGTTGGTTCCAGTGGACTGTGGGGGTAGATGGTTGGCTGGATGGACTCTTCTAAAGAAAAGTGAAAATTAGTATTTGAAGGTCATGGTGGGGAAAAAGCCGGGAGCATTTGGAGGGAGAATCCCTTGGAGGAACATTGTAGACTGCTTTATTGTGTCTGCTTTACATTTTTAGCTTTTTGTGCAGCCCTGGTGACTATAGGCACTTTATTGCTAGTAAGTACTTTATTGCTGCAAGACTGTGCATCTGGCCTGTAGCTATGGTGGGGCTATTGGGGGGCTCCACCCCCTCCCTTAAAGAGACAGCTGCACAAGTTTTCCTACCTCCCTTGCCAGCAGAGTCTTCTCCCAGCTTGCTCGCAAGAAAAAGACTCGTTGACTGGCAACAGAGGCCATGCAGCTGCCCCCTCTCTTCCAGCTGAGCAGAAAGAGTTTAAACTTAAAAAAAAAAAACCAGAGTCACGCTGCAGTTCCAGCACACACAGACTCTCTCCTCTCTCTTCTCCCACCAACCAGCTGAGCAGAGAGGGGGTTTAAACTTTAAACCATCTCTCTGGAGTCATGCTGCAGTGGCAACACAATTTCTCCACTGGGTGGAGATATCGTGCTGACGCTGTGGCACAACTCCAGAGAGGGGTTTTTAAGTTTAAACCCCCTCTCTGCTCAGCTGGCTGGTGGGGGAAGAGAGGGGGTGGTCATGTGGGTTTGTTGCCAGCCCCCAAGTCTTCTTCCTTCTAGTGAACTTGGAGAAGGCTCTCCCAGCCAGCAATGAGGCCAGCCTGCCGTCTTCCTCCCCTCGCGGGGTTTAAATTTTTAATTTAAATTAAGCCCCTCCAGCACCAGCAGCCCCCCCCCACTGGAGTGCCCCAGGATGAAAAAATCCTGGCTACAGGCCTGCTGTGCACATTTACATGCAAATGAATACCAGGGTTGTGACGTGGAGGTAGGCAATGGCAAACAACCTCTGAACATGTATTGCCCTGAAAACTCCAAGGTGTCGCCATAAATCAGCTGTGATTTGATGGCACTTTCCACCATCAACGGCCACTGAACAAACAACCTCTGAACATTTATTGCCCCAAAAACTCCAAGGTGTTGCCATAAATCAGCTGTGATTTGATGGCACTTTCCACCATCAACTGCCACTGAACTCATTGAGAGTTACTTATGAGAAAACATAGTTACTATTCCATAGTAAATTCTCCCAGCAATTTCAGTGGCTTAATCATATGCTGTTTTCTTTTGGGGATAGTGGGGATTTGAAAATGCTTCCCTTTGGATGGATTGTGTGTTTTATTATGTCCCTTTCATACTGTGTAAAATATTTGCTAGATTAGCTATCTAATCCTATGCAGATTTACTTCTAATTGTTTTATTGATTTCAGTGGCTTTAGAATGAAAATAACTGCATAGGATTGCACTGTATATTATATTTTATGATAGATTCAAAATTGAACACTCTTTTACATTTAGAAAGAAAAAGCAAATAGAGAGAGCTAGTCAAAGTTCAAATTCTGCTTCTGCCATGGAAGCTTGCTGAGTAACCTTGGGCCAATCACACACTCTCAGCCTACCCTACCTCACAGGGTTGTTGTGAGAATAAAATGGAGAAGTAGAGAATGGGGTGGGCTGCTTCAGATCCCCAATGGGGATAAAAGTGGATACAAATGAAGTAAATAAATAAAATAAATAAACTCTTCTACACATAGAAAACTAGATGACAGGGAGAAGAGCTCTAGCTTACTCTTTTCCCTGGCATGAGAGTTTTTAATGCATGTCATGTCTGCACAGATGTTGGTGCTGTGTTATGCCCCCTGAAGGTCAAATAAAGCTGTGGTGAGACAAGCTGGTCAACAAACAGGTCAACAATTTTTTATCAAGTGTGTCCAGTACTTTTGTTGAAACCATCTGGCAATCCTGCTGTTAAGACTGCTTCTGCAAATAAAACTTTCTTTTCTACCGTCATTTGAAGATTGTCTCTTTATTTGTTGGTGATATTAATGTGATCCAGATCTTCTTAAAGTGTTTTATTTTATCAAGATTTAATAACACATTATGTAGCCTGAATTAGCTGTTCTTGCTTTATTGCTAGAATATATTTTCTGGTATTAAATCAGCTGGTTATCATGTGTTCATATTATTGCTGCTAGATACCAACACAGAGATTCTGTCTGCCATTTTTAGAGAACTCATAGACAGTGAGAAGGTCTATACTAGCAATGTTTCTTTCTACTCCACTCTCCCCTCCCTTTCTTTCCTGCCTGATAAAGCAAGCAGAATGTCATGGTTCTAGCTATGATTAGAGGCATCCATAGACTAGAATGAAATCAGTAGCACCTCCATTGTACATTGGGCTGAAATATCACAGCTATTTGTAAAGAAACAATATGACAATAATGTAAAAAGTTGTGATAATTTCTTCTTATGCATATACTGTTGCCAGGTTTGATCATTTACTTGAACATGTAAGCAAATAGTACTCTTTTTTTTAAATGCAGGCGATATTTTGGAGAGAAAATTGGCCTTTATTTCGCTTGGTTGGGATGGTATACTGGGATGCTTATTCCAGCGGCACTTGTTGGGCTGTTTGTTTTCCTTTATGGATTATTTACGATGGATTCTAGTCAAGTAAGGTAAGAGGTACAACAGTGCCCCATTATAGAAAACCATGACATAGAATAATTCTTTTAAACTGTTATTTCATAGAAATAACCGGCTGGTAAGCCATAACAAAATGAAACAGTTAATTGGATCTTGCGCATTTTCAGCAAGAAAAGAATTCTACCTTGTCCAAGGCTCATCTCACTCCAATGCCTGAACACCTTCCCAAAGAAATATGGGCACTTAGAATCAAAGACCTGGAAGTCCAACCTCCTGCTTTGTTGTTGTTCAGTTGCACAGTCGAGTCTGACTCTTTGTGACCCCATGGACCACATCATGCCAGGCCCTCCTGTCCTCTGCCGTCCTCTGGAGTCTGCTCAATTTTATGTTCATTGGATCAATAACACTGTCTAACCATCTCATCCTTTGACATCTTCAATCATTCCCAGCATCAGGGTCTTCTCCAGGGAGTGCTCCCTTCTCATTTGGTGGCCAAAGTGTTTGAGCTTCAACTTCAGTATCTGACCTTCCAGGGAACAGCTATGGTGGATTTCCTTTAGGATTGACTGATTTGATCTCCTTGCAGTCCAGGGGACTTTCAAGAGTCTTCTCCAGCACCATAATTTGAAAGCATCTATTCTTTGGCGCTCGGCCTTCCTTATGGTCCAACTCTCGCAGCCATACATTACTACTGGGAATACCATCACTTTGACCATATGGACTTTTGTTGGCAGAGTGATGTCTCTACGTTTTATTATGCTGTCTAGGTTTGCCATAGCTTTCCTCCCAAGGAGCAGGCACCTTTTAATTTCCTGGCTTCAGTCACCATCTGCAGTGATCTGGGATCCCAGGAATGTGAATTGTGCCGCTGTTTCCACAAAATCCCCTTCTATTTGCCAAGGAGTGATGGGGCCGGATGCCATTATCTTAGTTTTTTTGATGTTGAGTTTCAAGCCAACTTTTGCACTCTCCTCTTTCACCCTGAATAAGATGCTCTTTAGGTCCTTTTCGCTTTCTGCCATTAGAGTGGTATCTTCTGCATATCTGAGTTTGTTGATTTTCCCCCCAGCAATCTTAGTTCTGGCTGTGGCCGGCATTTCGCATTATGTACTCTGCATATAAATTAAATAAGGCTGTCCAGCAGGGGCAAACCAGGAAAACAAAAAAGCCTGGGGAAAAGGCCCTGTTCTCCTCTGCCACTCCCCCGCAGAAGCCTGACTAGACTGAAAGATTGAAAGACTGAAAGATTCTACAACAAAGTAATTTATTTTAGCTCAGTGTAGTTCATTTCTTAAATCAGCTTCATGCCCTTCTCGCAGCAGCCAATTCCTGCAGCAAAGGTTTCTCTATTTCAACTTTTATTTCAACTTTTCCTTTGGTATTTCTGATTATTTCTGTGTATATAGTTTACTCCTTCCTAAATTTTGACAGTTATTAATGGCAGAAGCATGTTTCCTAACATTCGCTTTCAGTTTAATTTTCCTCAACCATCAAGAGGCACTTTCCTTTGGTATCTAGTTCCTTGATCTTATGGCCTGTATAGAGTTGCCATTGCCAAGTAGGGTTACCAACTATCTGGGGAGAAAGGCCTGATCGAGGGTGTGCACCAAGGAAAAAAATATATACTTTCATATGAGAAGGTTCAGGAGAATTGCCTCCCCCCTTAATTGCCTATGTTTATGTAGGACATTGTCAGTTTGGGATTGAAATCCATGTGGACTTTTGGGTAACGGTACTTTGAGACCATTACTTTCAATGAGGAACCTATTGGTTGTTTTGGAGCAGCCATTTATAAAGATAACGACACCTGAATTGCACAGAACAAAATCCTCCATCTAATCTAAAGACCTCAGATTTCAAGTGAATTGAACCAAGGCCATGATTGACGATAAAAACTGTTTACCTTTCCATTGAAAACTCTGTGTTTGCTATCCTTCCTTGTTGTAGTCTGTTTTGGTTTCATTTCACTGAGTGAGGAAGGAGGGACTTTTTGGGTGGGGATGGAGTGGCTATTTTATAACTAAATATCAAAATTGCAGTTTATACTAACACCTTGAATTCAATCCGGAAACTACTTGGTAGCTAACATGACTAGAGCAAAATTAAGGGTAATATGAGCTGACCATGATGTTCCAATCAGCAGTTTGGTGGCTATGTTCTGAACCACTTGCAGTTCCCTAAGCATTTTCAAGGGTAAAAAAGGTAAAGGTAAAGGTTCCCTTGCTTGAAAGCCAGTCAAATCCGACTCTAGGGGTGCTCATCTCCGTTTCAAAGCTGAAAAGCCAGCGCTGTCCAAAGCCGTTTCTGTGGTCATGTGGCCGGCATGACTAAACACCAAGGCGCATGGAACGCTGTTACCTTCCCACTGAAGTGGTACCTATTTATCTACTTGCAAT